ACTACTACTACTACTACTACTACTACTACTACTACTACTACTACTACGTTACTACTACTACTTTTACTACTCCTACTCCTACTCCTACTCCTACTGCTACTGCTACTGCTACTGCTACTGCTACTGCTACTACTACGACCACCACCACCACCAACCCCCCAAGTAGTCAGTAGTCAGTTGTTGTAGTGCTCGTGGCGTGGCAGTTGTAGGAGTAGGAGCAGGAGTAAGTTGGCGGTGCGATATTGCTATTGGGCAGTCTGAGCTGAAGCTACACCTGTGAAATGCAAGTGCACCCAGCGAAAAGACTTAAAGAGCTCTTACCCACCCACAGAACCGAGGACACCTTGAGGCCCGCAAAGATTCATGTCTTCGCCGTCCAGGGTGAGATCCCGCACCGCCACCTGATGACATGCAACCAATCTGCATTGCAGATTGTGGACCAAGAAGGCTTTTTCTGTCTTCTTCGCGCATATAAAAGGTTGGAACTACTGCAAACATCCTCCCAAACCATGCACTTTGATGGCCTGCCAAAAGCCAGGTTTGGAGACAGGCACCTGCTGCAGGTGCCGTGTGGGTGCTGTGCGGGCATACGGAAGACTCACACATTCAACTTCAACAATGTTGGCAGTTGAGAAAAGTGGTGTTTTTTTAAGATGCCAACCAAATTCCAATTCCACCCTTGTGCAAACTGCCAAGTCACCCCTGTCTCCTGGATTCTGCAAACATGATCCTTTCCTGAACTAAATGGCAATAGGCATTAGGCAATAGCTGAATAGTAAGAAATCTGCCCAGGCGCCCAAATCAGCTCATGTTGCATCCGTTCTGCATCCACACCGCCAAGCGAGAGCTCGCCCCCTGCATGGCCTTCCTGGCCGTTCACTTTATACCGGAGGTGCCAAAGATTGGACGAGATCACACGCAACAAATTTGGAAGGAGTCATCCTCCTCCAAACTCAAGAAGTGGAAGCAAACTCATGCCTTGCAGGTGAATCAAACAACAACAATCCCACCTTGGAGAAATAGATAGCGAAGACATTGGACTCCAATTGCCGGTGTTTCACCTCATAGCCACCAGCAACACCCCCTTCCCCCAAAGAAACTCACCAAAAGGTCTGGCTCAAAAGTAGTAATCTAGGAAGAGCAAAAGCAAATTCGATGTGTCCAGGTACCAACTCATCAATGAAGGAGAAGTTGCTGCCCTCCGCCAGGACGGGGAGTGCCAAACCTAGCACTCCCTCAAAGGGTGCCTGACAAACGCTCCAAGTGACAAACCAACGCGAGGAAACTCGCTTCCTTTGTTGATTTTGGGAGACTGCCAAAGTCGAAGGCCCAGTCAGAAAGTGATGTTCCATTTGAAGAAAGTATAGGACCGGATAACCCCACACGTCAAAGCTTTTCGCAGAGCAAAAGTGGCAGTTGAAAGCAAGGGTAATGAATAAGTCTAAAAACAAAACGATACAACAGGGTGGCCCGAAGGCACAGGAGGAACTCGCAGAAGGAAACGATGACGATGACGATGATGATGATGGTGGTGGTGGTGGTGATGGTGACGACGGTCATGATGTTGATGATGAACAAGTGATTATGATCACAATGGTGTAAAACCGCGTGGCACAGCGACTTCACGGATGTACTCCCACCGCGCCGTGTGTCACAAACGAGATATAAACGCGACACCACAGCACGTTTCCCTTCCCCCCAAACGGCACGGACTCACGCAAAGGCAGTTTCCACCAAAGCCGCGCAAAGCCGCATGGCACACAGCACAGTCTCTAAGAGCCACGGAGGAGGTCAGTAGGTGAGTTGTGTGTGTTGAGTGAGTTGAGTGAGTTGAGTTGTGTGAGAGTTGTATTGATTGAGTGAATCAGGAGGAGGAAGGAGGAGGAGGAGGGAGGAAGGAGGACTGCCACAGGAAAAAGAAAGGTCACCTCACACAAAGATGTGGGTCCCAACATTCGTTGCTTTCTCCGATCTTCATCCACTGACACCGCTTTCCCGCCCGACCTCCTTGAAGGGATGCTCGCTAAAGGTGTGCCCCAGCACTATCCGCAGATCCACGCACAGCTGCCCGACGCACACGGCGCCCTCGGCATAGGAGCCGTTCACCTCGCCGGTGCCGAAGACCAAGGTCACCGTGTGGGCATCACAGGTGCTGTGCCTCGTGGCGGTCGTGGTTGTGTGGCGTGCACTGGACTCTTGGCAATGCACGAGTAGACAACAGGGCAGTGGATGGGAAGGCCTTCCGAAGCTTGGGGGCACTACGATTGTGAATGCCTGCAAATCCACCAATATAAGTCCCAGTGGCCTTTGTGCGAGTTGGTCTTCTTGAAAGCAAGGCAGCACTACATTGGCACTGCCAGTGTCGAAGCTGACCCGAAAGGGCCGGCTCTCTGCACCCTCGGCGCCATGGGCACCAAGAGTGAGGAGGCCGAAATACCTTGGGCACTAAAATCTGCTAAAACGTGCACAGCACCTTGAAGTGAAGTGGTCAATCCAAGCCTAACTTCAACCACTGAATTTCAGTCCGCTCAGCTGCTCTGTGGTACTTTGCCGCCGCCCCCAGCGATCCGCCTCCAACCACCGCTGCTGCCGCTGCAGGGGCACAGTGACACGGCCGTCGGCAGTCCCAAGAAGCGCCAGCAGTCGCCACCGATAGGGCGACATGATGGTCACAGGGCGGCATCGATGCCAGGAGCCCCTAGTAGCGTCCTTGCTCCGAGTAGTCCACGGGAGAAGGGGTGAAGAAACGTGGTCGATCTCTGGGGACCTCAAGGTTTGGAGTCGCCGAAAAATGGATTAGATTGCCCTGTGCAGACCCAGAAAAGGTGTACAGAAAGAAGTGCTTTTGTCAGCTCATCAGTTTGCCAGTCATTGATTAAGTTTACAAATTATAGAAGGAGTAAATGAATGTGTGCTCCGTATGACCCGCTGGAAGGGCTCGACCAAGCTTTCTCTGAAGCACTCTGCTTCAAAGCAGGTCATGTCGGTCATGTGCATAATCATAATCACATGCAAAATGCTGTTTTGGATCTTGTGATGTGACGTATTGCTGCCGTATCTTGAGCCGCAGCTTCCAAGGTTCATGGCCTGTCAACACATAAAACACTTGAGAGATTGTCAAGTCGCATAACGTTCTAAGACTTGCAAAGAGGAGGACTGTATTCTGTGTCCTGGACAAAAACCCAATACCCAAACTTGGAATTGCTCGGCCCTCTTGCTCACTCCACCTTCTGTGAGCAAACAAGATTGTTGGATTTCCGGGCAAATCTGAAGCTTCTGATCCATTTGTGTGCAGCGCGGACGAGCTGCTACTCCTTCCTTCCACGCTTCACATGATCAAGGACGTTGACATTGCGGTCCTGCACAGCAAGAGCAGACAAAGAGGACCAAAATTGCATTGGAAACGTTGCAAGGACTGGTTGCCGAAGTGGCTGCGGAGCGCTTCTTGTCAATCCCTACTGACTATCCCGCGCACAGGTGCCTTCACAAGTTCAAAAGTTACAAAGCAATAGAGGCCTAGAGCATCCGGTGAAAGGTCTTGCATCTATGAATAGTTGCACTAGTTGTACAGAATGTTCCGAGGCTTGAGATGCTACGCAACCCTCCAAACAAGCTGAAGATGTATTTGAACATTACTGACAGCTTGCAAAAGACCAAACTTCAGAGCTGAGAGCAACGACTGCAAACCAAGGTGGGTGCCTTTGCGGCTCCCAAAAATGCATCTAGCAGAATCTAGTAGGGCTCGCAGGACTCAACTAGAATCCTCCATCCAACTCAGGTTTGCTCCCTTCCCGTGCGCGCACACACACATGGTCCTAACGCAGGTATTGCTGGAGGGACCTGTAGCAAAAGTCGTGCACCTGGTGAAAGCGCCAAGTAGGACTGTTCAAAGCTTCTGAAGAGGACAAAAAAATAAATATATATTCAAATATTCTCAAGGAGAAATGATTTGGCAACCACACGTTTGATATCCTCTTCATTTGGACATGACATGACATAGTCTTTGAAGCTTACTGGAATCATACACTCTCCACCCACCTATGACCGAATCATGGCCATAAACCTGAGGTCGCAGGAAGTTGGCAAGTCGTACAGCACGTGTCACTGAGGGAAACGCGTGTCATTTATATACCGGGAACAAATCTTGAGAGGAATTCCATGTCCCACTTACAACAGTACTGCAAATGTAAAAATCATTTGCGCTGCACGCAAGGTGTGCACCAAAAGGGCGACATTCTGTCAAATGTGCATTGAAATGCTCCCGATATTGAGATTCATGCCCACCGACTGCAAGCAAAGCTCACACAACAAGCACAACAGACTGTGCCAATGGTCACAGACTGAGGCGCAAGCTCGTTGAAATCAATAAAGCCTAAGAACGATCAGCTGGGCTCAGGTCACGCAATGCTTGAGTTGCCAAGTGCAACACGCACTCACACACCAGGTTATCCTCAAGCAATTGCAGCCGCCCCTTCAGCCCCTCGCCATCACCGTTGGTGTCCACCTCCCTCACAATCCGGTCAACTTGTGCCTGTACAGGTCTGGTTCACCAAGTTGCTGGCAGTCCCGATTTCTTCCCACGACAAGTTGTCAATCTACGACAAAATGGCAAAGCTTACAAGGCAAACGGGTGAAAACTAGGTACTTCCTTGGAGGCGTGACACATGACCAGGCCTTGGAAATGGCATTGCTCACCTGCAGAGTCGCGGTTGCTGTGGTGGACCGTAAAAGACCCAACATGGGGTCATTACGTCAAGCATGTCACTCTTTGGGATCTGAAAATATCTCTTCTACAAAAGCACATCGCAGCACTTGGCCTTGCTTCCTTGCTTCCTCCTTATGACTGCTTGTGTCTTTGCGTTCCCAGGATCCACTTGGATCTGGACCTCATCCCATCCGTTCGTGTTCGCCTCTTGGGAGGACAGGACTTCTTCAAGCTCCTTCTTGGAGATGCGGCCGTCGTCTGAGACAAAGCGGAGCAAAGACGACCGCCGAAGCCAGAATTCCCATGCACAAATGCTCAAGCATTCCCAGCATATACTGGTGATCTCGCAGGCATCTTCACTAGGCTCAAGAGCTTTGCCAACATAGGTCTTGTAGAAGCTTCACTTTTGGTTCATGGGATCACTTCAAGCATCCCACGTTGGACTATTGACAAAAAGACGGCTTAGATGGATGCATCTTGCACTTTTGCACTAGCAGCCAGAATGCAACTGTTTCTTCATTGTTTAATTCTGATTTTGCCCAAGAGCACCTAGCACTACACCATAGAACGTTGTCTATATGGATTTATCGATCTCTTCGTCATAAATCGTCATAACACATCCACGCAACATGCTGAAACAATCTGCACCAAGCTGCCATTCTTGTCAAAGACCTTGAAAGCTGCCCACACCGAGCTCTCTTGCACCTGCGTTGCATCTCCCTTTCGCTCCAAAGCCCCATCTGAAGAGTCAAGACTCGGTCATTTGGCTCAACCCACCCCGACACAAGGCCAGCGAAACCTCTACCACGACCTCCCTGCTCCACCAGTCAATGAGTCATATGCCAAACCAGTCACTTCATCCCAACCGAGTTCCATCGAACCCGAACCCTCTGTGGCGGCACCAAGCTCTTGCGCTCCATGGCAGCGGCCAAGAACTCGGTGTAGTCGATTTCACCGCTGCCATCCGCATCCAAGGCCAGCGCCAAATTGTGGAGATCCTCCAGGGATGCAACGGTTCTTTACAGTTACATCGCTTTTTGGTGGGGGGGTCAAATGGAGGTCCCTTTTTGCGTTAGTCGTGAGACGGTCGATTCAGTGATCTTGCCGAAGACGGCTCGGTCGCTTGGGGATGTCACGTCAAAGAGCACCGAACGCCGTCATCGTCCTTGGAGCTCAGGCCACCGGCAAGACCCGCCTTTTTCCTGGCAAGAAAAACATCGGCGGTCTCCCAGTAGAGTAGTGAAATTGAAACATGGCGGTTGGGGAGGCCAACCACAGTGCAGCCATACGTATGCGTATGTTTCCAAACTGAGGGATTCACTTCGAGAAAGCTGGAGGCCTTGTTGCATCATCTCCTCTCACTAGCATAAGGTTCGGGTCAATGCAGGTCTCATCTAAGGTGAAAAGAAGCTTAAGCCCAACACCTACTGAGACTGAGATCAGCGCCAATTGCCTGTCACCGTGCTTACCGGCCATACTGCACTGATTACTCCAGTGAACCAAAAGCAAAACCTGCCCCTGTTGTGTGAAAGAACCACTAGCTCCACTAACCATGTCCTGCTGAGCAGACAAAGGTTTAAACGACTATTCCTTCTGTGTCACTTTCTGGATAACTGTATACAATCAAGTCTTTCGTCCTAAGCACCCAGCCCTCGTTTCTCTCCCGCCAGGCCCCAGACATGCCCTGCTTGAGCTCAGCAAAGGTGATGATGCCGTCTCCATTTTCGTCCAGCTCGTTGAACTGCTTCTTCAGCCTTGGAGCTTGTTCTTACAGTCACCGGCGAAGCAAATCTGCCTACAAGTCTAGCTCTTCGTACGTAACCAGCCTCTGGCTCCCTCTTGAAAACACAGTCGCACTAGTCGGATTCCTGCAGGATTGAGTATGGGGACTTAAATGTACCTTCTGATGGAAGCAACTGGATCTTTTGGAGCTTTTCGCATAGTCAACAAAGTAGAGTCACCGTTGTCGCTCTCTTTCATGGAAGTTCCATGTTTACAGTCTCCATATACTGTAATGCTCTGGCTCAATAGCAAATGTTGTAATGCCTTCTTTGAAGGGTACAAAATAAGCATTATGTACCTTTTGCTGAACTGGAATGCCTGGGGCGGAAGGTAAAAGCCAAGTGCGGATGGGAAGAAGCTCAGCAGTTTGAGACGGGCGTGGCCACTGGAGACCCGGTCGTCGACAGTCAGAAGCGCGGGGATTCATACTGTATATCCAAGCCGCTGATCAAAGACATCGTCATTCTGCTGCCGTGCCAGAAGTTGCAGAGCTGCCTTCTTCAAACGATGTTCAGCGCCTTGCGTGAGCTGGCTGACAGGTGGGGTTCCTAATTTTGAGATCCATGTATGAGAGAGAGAGAGAGAGACCAGGCCGTTCTGGAAAAATGACCATCTGGGGATCAACTGGCCATCAGCAAACCAATGTCAACCCTTTGTGCCATCAACTTGCCAAGGGCCAAGCTGTACTTCCTCAGGTTGCTCAAAACGGCCTCACGCGATTGCTGCACACAGCAGTTCGAGTCAAAGCACCGCGAGGGTGGTCTCATCACCAGTCAGTCCTGAACCTACGCCACAAACATCCCCAACCACCGAATCTCTTTGTCACTACTGCCAGTGCCTTTTACATGTTCAGCAAGCTAAAGCGCCTCCACACATGCGCTTGCAACCACATATGCTTATCATCAAATCTTATAACTTATAATAATGAAGCTTTGCACTCCAAAACCAAAGTCTCTGTGACCAAACCAATCTGTAGACTTTGTTGTGCTGAAACCTGAAGAATGGAACATCTAGGAGCAAGGACGCTACTAGAGGCTCCTGGCCGTACTATTTTATATAGGAGCAAGAAGCTATTAGGGGCTCCTGGCCTTCCTACTAGGAACAAGAAGCTACTAGGGGCTTACTACTTTCTTGTTTCTACTGAGCCAAACTCCTTGGTCAAACATGTTCAGCTTCGTGCGGCCCGTCACTGCGCCGTTCGCCAAGCTCCCCGGCAGGGCAGAGCGGCAGAGTCGACTGTTGCCTTCAAATTGAGTGAGAAAACAGAGCGGAAAGGAAATGCTTCAGAGACCAGTTGGTATAGGATACGCTCGCCAGAAGGTCCTACTTCTGGACCTGTGACTGTGTACTTCCAACAGAGACTTTTGTTGGATGCAAACCACTCTCAAGGGCACACGGGAATCGTGCATCAAGGTTTGTACAGAAACGCTCCTCCATCGATTCCCCAGATTCCGTCATCCGGTGGCACGTGCACTGAGTTCCTTGCGCGCTGTTGGTAATCCATGGATCTCTCAACGCCTGCAAGGGGCAGGTGATCACTCAAATTCTGCCAAACGCAGATCTTCACTAGAGACTGAAGTGATTCATCTGCGGATGACAGTCCAAAAAAATGCCTACTCTCCCTACTATACACTTTCCTAGAGTAAAACAAACAACGCTGCGGCCTCCTTTGCGGAGAGCCGTTGGTCCACGTTCTTTTGCAAGAGCTTTCGGATAAGGTCCTATTTGCAGTGCCATGGCTGAACGACGAATACAAGAAATAACTACCGGCAATAATGATCTAGAACAACCCCAAAGTCAGGATAGCCACACTCTTTTCTTGTGAGGACAACCAAAAACGCAAGAGAAGCAAAGGGCAAAGGGCGAAAACAATAACAAAATGTGGAGACAGGACATCACATTCAGAATTCAGAAATGGGCAAATTCAGGTTGCTGCGCTCGCATCCCTACCCTCCAGCCCCTTTCATAAATTCTTTGCAGTGGGAAGAATCTCTGACCCACAGTCAAAACGAGCAAAACGAGATGAGGTCAAGAATTCCGAGGCTACCGAGGTATTCGAAAGAATCACATCTCGACTCTTGTGAACTCTAAACTCTCCAAACTTCTGCTCCTTCGCACCCTTCGAGACCTTCTGGAAGATTTCGGGCGGAAAGCCATACTTCCCGCTGAGCACCTCAGAACTGGACAGCGGAGGTCAATGCTACCGGCGAGTGTTGGATTCATTCATCTCAGTGGGGAGCAAATTCTGACATCAGGCAAGAAACTTGATTTGACCTAAAGCCGCGTCCTGGAAGCAGTATGATAGAGATGCTCAGAAACAACACCCAAATTCCAATCCAAAGCCTGCAACATCCTAGATCGGTCTCAAAGCTTCCCGGTGGTCTGGCCTTCTGCAGAGTATCTTTGGTCCTCTCCTCCTTGAAGGGGAACATGCCGGAAAGAAGGATGTACCTGAGAAAGTTGACACAGTACAGCTTCGGGGCACTATTGTACTGTAGATTGTTATTGTTTGTAGTATATAAGCTTTATATACTTGGACGTGGTCTGGTCATCGTGGTCATCGTGGTCATGGTAGCGTTGGCCAAACAAGCAACTGGGCCCCGGTTCAGCACAATTTGCTCAAGGTTAGTCCCTTAGCAGACTATTGCATCAGGGCCTGTAGCATCTTGTCATTCTGCTGTTGAGTTGGAGCGGGGGTAAGCAAAAGCTAGGGCAATCGCTTGCAAAAGTGGTTCTCGCTGTGTAATCCTGTTTAAAAAATCAATGATGCTTAACCACAACGGCCAGCTTAACGTTATCTTATCCATATCGATGCTTTCTAGTGAAACATGATTGTCTTGGTCTCACGTCTCCCTGGCTTGCTAAAGCAAGAACAAACTCAGCTAGCTAACGCTAGCTTTCGTGACATGATGTGCCCACTGCTCTGAAACTAAACCCAAAAATGACATGGCACATTAGTTCCCATTCCCCTTTCTGAGGTGCATGATGACTCCAGCACTCCAGCAATCCACCTTCTCGTTGTACCTGCGGCGGGCATCTCTTTCAGCACTGGCAAATCTATCACTGATTCATGCATTTGATGATCTGCGTACTGATTCATGCAACCTGCAAGGGGAGTGGTCTAAAGCCTTGTGGCAGCACTAAGTAGATTCGCTTTTGAACCGTCAGACCGTCCGTGGACGCCTCGGGAATCGGGTGACAACCTCAGGAGCCACGTAGTAGGGCCTGGCCCACAACACAGCATGCAGAGTCCTACAGGTCCTGGAATGCATGGGATAACACTGTCCTACATGAAAACAGCTGCTTCACACTGGTGTGATAAGATATTGAAAGTCTGAAAGCAATGTTGACTACAGATTTGTTCCTCCCACTACTCTCAACAAAACTCTCGACGTTAAGTTTTTAGTGTTTTGTCATCGTCCAGGTTCTTCACAAACCCACTGTGGGATTGCAATACTGCTGATTGAGAAGGATGAACTCGTGTCTTCGGAGGATCAACCCCTGCAAAAACATCAAACCATATTGCTTCTTGTAGATACTCCAAGCCGGTTGATATACCCTGTGCATAAGGTGTGGAGCTTCATGCAACTCGATGCAAAGTACAGAAATACAATTTGCTATTATGTTGACAAGTGACGGACGACTCATATAACTTTCGACCGATCACGTTGCTGTGTATAGCGCCCCGGGTAATTCAAGCCAGCATCACGTGCCCACTTTTGACGTGAAAGTCGTAACGTGGTGATGATGTCCAGGCTGGAGTGGGAGCAAACGGTCAATTCTGGAGCTTGTCCACTACTTCGTGAAAACGTGTCATCACAGGGCAACCGAGTGCAATTGTACCTAGCCAATGCTGTTGAATGCTGCCAATTACAGACCAAAACCTACGAAAACAACAGTGTTCACAACTTTCACAAGTACACAACAACTCGGGCTTGGTGTGGCCAGCAAAGGGCTCTGCAAGTTCCTCCAAATCTGATAGTGTTGGCAGTTTCCAGCTGTTCCTGTGGTGGGCCTGTTTGTCGACTTATCACACAATAAACAGCCGGGCACAACGGTTTCCCCACTAAAAGCAAAAGAATGCATATAATTAGTAATGGCATAGTACCCTGGACCTTGATTTCAGCCAGCAGTGGAGCATCACAGAACCACAGATTCACATTCCAGCTGCAGTGTCGAGCTTGCTGCAAGCTGGATCCAAGTCAAGGCAGGTTCACCATTGTCACTAATTGTCTTTTCAAGCAGTAGGCAGAAGTGATCTGAATCAAGAAATACAGCCACGCACCTAATTGTGGGTCCCGTTGTGAAAGGGAGGTGCTGAGTAAGCCAAATTCGGGATTGCATGCTCCTGCATTAAATGTCATAGTCAAGGAAAAATGAACCACCCCAATGAGTAAGAATCCTAAGACTCGTATATAACTCTGTGTGTGTGTTGAATTTCTCTTGAATTAGTGTTGAGTAGCTCATTCAGGGCAATGACTTCGAGCAACCCACCTCGAAATGAGCAGAGATGCCAAAGTCGATGATCTTCAAAGTGTTGTCTGGCGAAAGTCTTGAGAAAACAGAAATGCCAGGTTCTAGGTCAATTGGACCTACTATTAGGGTGGAGGCCATCGCTACTAGGGTGGAGGTCATCGCTACTAAGTTCAGGAAAAATCCAAGAAACAATATTCCTCTTTGAGAAGCTGCAATATGCAATATCCTTACACAAGTAACTGGGACAGCTGCTTCTACAAGTCACTTGACCGCCTTGACGGGACCCTGTGATGAGCGTAAACTTTCCCAAGACCTACCTGTTGGACACTTTGCTAAACTAGGTGTATATTGTTTATATATATATATAGACCATGTGATACCCACTCTTCACAATCCTGAATTCTTACCGAATCTTCTCCCACACACATACATCTTACATCAGATCTATTCAACAATTTTGCAGTCTACTGGTGCTTTTCTCCACTTGAAGTGATTCAACATGTCCATCAAAAACCAGAGAGCAATCCTTGCTTTTGATCTATATACAGTATATACTTATCTCTGGCCATGTCGGGATCCACCTCGGATGGGCCCCTTCTTCGACAAAAGGAAGTTCTCCGGCTTCAGATCCCGGTGACAGACGCCATTCTGGCATGAGCGCGGCATGCGCGCATGAGCGGCATGTGTCCATGACTGCTTCCAAGAGCAACTGAACCTCCGGGACTTGGCGCTTTCTAGTCATTTCTGTCAAAAAGGCGAACGAAAAGCTTCATCAGGTTCAAACCGTCTGCTGCAGTCAAGGAGCAACCTGCACAAGTCAATTCCGCCCAGCCAAACCTCGTGGAGGTACACCAAAGCCCTGAAGATCTGCTGCATGATGATGGCCTAGGTCAATTGGATTGGAGGCCATCGCTCTTTGGTTAGAGGCTATCGCTTCTAGGTTGGAAGTGAAGATTTGACTCGACATTTTAGCCATGGTCTCTCCGAGAGTCTCTCCATTGGGTTATTCAGGCCACCTGTGCAAAATGCTGATGTGTGTTTATTTTGATGTCTGCACTATGTATTCCGCTAAAAGTACAGAATAATTGATTGTTCAAGCCATGGTCTGGGCCAGGCCTCTCTCGAGCAGCGGTTTTACGAAGAGGGACTACAAGCGGTGGCAATGACATGACATTGTCTTGAGCTTTAACGGAGTCAGGTGAAAAGTAGTTTTTTGTATCTACCTGTGAGGTCCTCATATAGGTACATAGAATGGCAATCGACCTGGACTTCACACTTCACACAGTCAGGGATCCCAGCCGCGTCCGACTCCGACATCTTCAACTGGCAAGGGATTGGATCACCACTTCCTACTGTAGACCCGTGAGACTAAAAAGCTGTATATAACTGTAACCAATTTTCAACAACCAGCACCCACAATGCAAAGATACAACCCTTGGGCGGCCGACTTGGCTTCCACTACTCTACCCTTTGCTCAAGGGATATGCCTGGAGCCAAACTCTCTGCTTGGTCTCAATCTTGGCTGCACCGAATCAGTGCACCGAATCAGCTAGTGAGCCATGGACCTGCCCTTGCCTGCTCAATAATGGCATCAAAGAGCTCGCCACCCTCACAACACCTCAGACCACAGACTGAGCAAATGCCAGACCTGATGAGTTGTGGGTATGATGTCGTATCTGATGTCAGAGTCTAGCTCATTATCTGTCAACAGACTCTAGTGAAAATGTTGGACCTTTTGCGCTGCACAGTCAACCAACATGGAAGCATGTTCTCGCCAGCTCCGCACAGTATTTCCTCTCTAATATGCAATCCATCATGTTCCAATCTCCTCCCTAAAGAGAATTCTCAGACACCAAACTCCATCACCAAGTAGATCTGCTTGGCGTCCTGCGATTGAGAAATGGCTAGTGTTAGAGTTCCTTCATCCCGGAATTGACAATCTTCACAATACAAACACTCTGCAGCTTCACCTGACTTGATTACTGTAGCGTCTAAAGTTCAAAACTTGCTGCTCTGTAGCGTCTTATGGGCATTCAAATGTGCCCATCAAACGTGCTACTCGAATTCACCAAGTTCACCAAGTTCACCCACTGTTAAAACCAGCAACCACCCAGCCTCAACATCTGAGTTGAAGTCATTCTGTCGTCATACTATTGTCTCTTTGCACATTGAAGAGTCTGCTCCAATCGATCTTGAGCAAAGTCTCCTCAAAAGTGGTGAAGACCTTGATGATGTTCCTCACCCCACAGACAAGGGGAAAAGTGCCGCTAATATGCAAGCTGTTCCTTGATTCGTCCGTGCTATCCTGATATTGCCTGCACATGCCAACAAAAATTCCTGCAGATTAAATCACAATGTGAGCAGTGCCCAAATCCTCCTGGCACTTCACTAAGATATATATATATATATATATATATTCATTACATGTGTACATCACTACTATTCAGAGTACTTCCCAGACTGCG